AATGTCAGTAGGTTTGCAGGATGTCACCGTCGGGCCCTTGAGCGGGGCCCTTAACCTCAGTCGCTCCAGGGACTGCCTGACCCTGCTCTCTCACTTGTATGTTGCTTCGGACAAAAGCGTCTGCTAAATATGTAAATTTGTAACACCTTTTGGTCACAGGTGTTTGTCCTTAACTACGAGGCTATCATGTGTCCTTTATTACACAGACTGTCTGTCTTGCCTGTTGAAGATGGTACATGCCCGTGGGATACTCTGTTCATGACACTAATACTAAAGGAAAAGACATGCAAGCAGGTTAACAAATTCAATATCTATGAACAACATAGTGGCTAATTAATATGCCCTGCAGCACTCAGAATTACTAGGATACAGAACTTATTCAGATTACATTTGCCTCACAGATATACCCATGTACGGCAAGTATTTTCATACAAAAAAAAAAAGTTTAATTCCATTTCCACAGACGGATCAGCAAGACATTTTGCTACATTATGCATTTTTAAGAAAACCTAATTTCCAAGTAAAATTATTCCCCTGTGTTTACATAGTGACTTCACATAAATTCAATCAGCTTCAGATCAATTGTAATCTGTATAAAAATAATCTTGGAAAAAAAAAAACAATTTCATCTGAAGTGGATTTTGGAAATTCAAGTTCAGCAAGGAGGCGAAAGAAAAGCACAAGATGAGGAGAGAATTCTGGAGCAGGTATACCTTACCCTGCGGGGACACAATGTCCCCATAACGTGATGAATACCCATTTTTTTTAATAAAAATTTTAATAAAAATCTGTGACTGCAATGAAAAAAACTAAAAATGCAAAAACTCATGTATTTTGCTTGGTTACCTATGGTTATGGTTAGGGCTCGGTAGGGGTTAAGGTTGTCATAGTTAGCGTTAGCATTTTCCCCATAGAAATGAATGAGCGGTCCCCGTAAAGATATGTTTACTCAACTGTGTGATCTTTCCATAAAGCCTGAGGAATTGGAAGCAGTTTGGCCTTGTCTGGTGACATATGACATGACCTGTTCTCTGGATACATGTCCATTCACCATCCTTCCATAGGAATTATTGAAAGAGAGAGAGAGTGTGTGTGTGTGTGTGTGTGTGACAGAGAGAGAGAGAGATTGATATTCTGATAAAAGGTCATCCACATGGGAGACAAAGGCAGACATTTGGAGTCATATAAAGCTTTACACTTCAACCCAAGATGTCTAATTTTTCCTCCTCTGATTTTGCAACATGATATATACACAAGTGAACAAAATATTGGAAACAACACATAAACACACATACACAAACTCACAGAATTAACAAAATCACAGTGCAAAAAACAGCTACTTAGGAATGTTGTTAAACACCATAAAATAGTCTCAAACCACACAATACAGAAATAAACCAGCAGCTCTGTGATATTCTCAAAAATGTTCCTTCAACCCACAATGACTACTGCCAGCTGTTAAACATTGTGGTGGATTTTTAATGGCATGAGCAGTCATCATACAGGAACCAGTGGGTCCGATGATTTCTCTGCCTAGTTGTATAATGGATGAGTAACATGAATACATTTTACAGGACTAGATGCACCCTATGGTGAAAACACAGTTTCCTTATAACATCTCCGTATTCCAAGTGAACATCACTACACACTCTGCTAAACAAACTGTGTTTTATTTCCCACCAGGAAGAAGTCAAATGTCTTACTTGGCTTCCCCAAAAAGTATAAAGTAGGTTCCCAAATCATTCACCACCACCCCCCTCAATAACTGGAGGCTATCCTTCCTGAAGGATAGTTCAGTATCAAGTTGCACACATTTCAGAACTTGCATAACAGCAAATGGTGGCTCTACTCATTATTAATTCCTTTGAAATGCATATATTCTTAGGTTTCCTTTTATTTTGCCCATGATACGTCCTAACAGGCAGCATGGTTCTTAGAGAGAGAAAAAAAACTCTTTGATTTTAATGCAGTGCTTTGGAATGTTATTTATGTGCCCTGCACTTCGTTCATTACTGCATTTATTTGCACTCCTACAGGCCTCTTGTTCCTATGCTGCAAATGGAAACCAGCACCTCTATTCACTGTCTCTGACTTATTTGTCATTTTTTTATTTGCATTCATTTTCGCCTACTTAAGTTTCAGTTATTACACAAAATGCACAATACACAAAACAACACATTTTTACATGCAGTTTCAATAATATTTCCAAATTAAATAAAGTGAAATATAACGTCCATTGACATGAACTGCATATGATCAGTAGCCACGGCATAACAGACAGAAGATTCATGGTACTTCATAGTACTTTGTAAATGACTAGTAAGTCGATGGCAGTTCTTAACATTTACATTTTATTTGTGTGTATAACAAAGCATGACACCAGGAAACAAAAAATGTAATTTCATCAATATCTATTGCATTGCTGTTGATATCATGTTAGTCATTATCAGTCCTGTACTGCAGGATGAACGTCCATAACGTCCATTAAAGCGAGTGCCTGGAACTGCAAAGTTATAATTTGTGCCTTTAGTCTACAATTTGGCCCTTTCTTCAGAACTCCAAATGCTCTCCAAGGAAATGCAGCTAATTGGCAATAGAAAAGATCCTCTCAGGCCAGCCAGCGCTGCTCCAGTGGGTGGACGACCTCTGGCCTCTCATAAACAGCTCCTTCTCTTTCCTGCCATCACCATTATCAGTTGTTCGCTTTGATTACACTGCTATATAAACTCATCTTCCAGAAAGCCTGCATCATCAAAGTTATGGAAAATGTCAAAGCAAGCTGAGGCAACTCAAAATGACAGCTGACATTCATCTGGATAGAATAAATATAGTCATTATGCAAGGCTGCTTCTTGGTGCATTTTACTGGTTAATTAAAGCTTTGTAAATATTTTTGAAAAAAAATCATTGTTTATAACTGCTAGCCTTTGGAAATGTGGCATTAACTATAAGAGTTTAAGAAATTGCTTCTTTGGAGAATATTAAGTAAATCAATATTCCCAAAGTTCACAGTTCATTTGTCAGATATTTTACCTACAGCCAGTCTGGTGATCCTGCAATGCCTGCCTCAGCCTCCGTTACATCAGGGTCAATGACTCCACTGCTATCAGTGTCCCTCTGTTCCGGCTGGTGTCCCTGAAGGTGGATCAGCCAGCCCTAAACCGCAGGAAGCACCAGGAACCTGCTCTCTGCTCTTAATGATTATTTCACCTGACCATTCCATCAAATAAACATTTGCAGTAAAACAGAACATTCTGCGGATTCCTCATATTTTAACAACAAAAATCCCAGAACAGATGCTTTATTCTGAATCTACTTTAGCATAAGATAATAATCCAGTAAGTGTGATTTAAGATAAACTATATGCTGTACATCAATGGAATAAACATACAAAACCATGTTCCATATGTCATACTACTCAATTCAGCAGCCATTCAAAGTATTATTATTAATTGTCATCATTATTATTATTTATGTATTTTATGATTGTTATTAATAATAATATTAATGATAATAATATTAATAATGATTATGATGATGATAATAATAATAATGACAACAATAATGCATGGATTCAATAAGTTGATATTACAAATTTTAATAAATGATAGTATGAAGTATGAATTTATATGCCGGGTGTAATGACTTCCTTACCGCTTAATTGAGCAGAAAATATCAGTGGAATTATAATTAGATTTCAAAGCATGGCCTGAATTGTATTTTTAATTAAATCTGATCCAAGGTGTAGTATGAATTTGCAGATTACGATCCATTGAAGAATAAAGACAAATGGCACGGCACCTCCAGCTTCATGTTTCTGTTTCGATATAAGTCAGACCTGATAATGCTGTATTCTTGACACGGCTGGGTGCATTTAAGGGCACTGGAAAGCAATATTTTCACAGTTCTATCATGGGACAGCCTAACATGTACTGGGTGTGATTATTAATTAAGATTATGGGGCGCCTGAAAGCAAGACAACCCCTTTACCCCATAGGACTGGAATCTGCTCCTCCCCCCCAGCCCACCCTCCCTATGCCGAGGTCCCCAGACGAACACAGAGGACAGCCCTTCCCAGAGGCCCTTGCTTCTCATTTGCACTTCTTCCTGAGCCAAGTCACCATGGTGAACCGCCTCTTGGCACAAAGCGGACTCAACAGCACTCAGAGGTCATGGCGCCCTTCTGCTCAAGGTGATGGCTGTGGTGGAATTTATTCACAGTTCCGTCCCTTTCAGCGGGGAGGCTGCATTTCAGAAACCAATTTTACTCTGACTACATTCGTTTATTTAGGACATTAGGGTATTGAGCTTGCATAATTATACTAATAACTGAACCTTAAAATGATTACGTTTATACTAAATATCACACACACACATACACACACACAGGTTTGTAATTATATCTTGGTGGCAACTCTCCATTCATTTCTATGGGGAAAACTCTAATCCCAACTTGATGACCTTAACCCCTACACAGCCCTAACGTTAACCATAAGTAGCCGAACTAAATATGAGACTTTTAGCATTATGGCTTTTTTGATTGCATTCACAGATCTTTGTGGGTGCCTGAATTACAAACCTGTGTGTATGTGTAATCTCTGATCTGTGTGTATGTGGAAATTTTAGTTTTTTGATTGCACTGGACCTGAAAACATCAAAATAACAGGATGTTCTCACAATGTAATATAAACCTAATAGACACACACACACACACACACCCAACAACACCTAAAAAGCCTAAATAATTCTATGTTTAAAAGATACATATTGACTAAACCATCTTGATATCGTTACCATGAAAACCCTAAATTTGCAGATTCATTCACTCTGTATGATAACTCCCTCACACAACAAATCTGTGGGCAATGTGTACAATGTTGGCAACAGCACTGCTAATATCACTTCAGTCAGTTTTTGCATTGCAAATGAAAGCTATTATTTCCTAAATAAGTACAGAAAAAATTAAAACAAACAATTAAGCTGTAAAACAACTGCTCTTACATAGTCATGGAAAGCCTTGGCTTCACTGGAGTGCTCACACGTCTCCCTCCTTTCAGGTGCGGCGCAGTACAAATCCCAGAATACACTGCAACATGATACATGACAACCGCTGTGAGCAACTATAAGCACATAGACCTGCTTCAATGAGAAAAGTACAACTCCCCAGGGCTCTAGTGAGTCTAGGCCCCCGGCCTTTAAAATTGAAATCGGATTCAATTTTACAGTAAATACTCAAGAAAATATTTCGGAAAGAACTTGCGCGTTCTGAAAAAAAAATAGCCCTTCATTTTCAGCCTCATGCAGCAACAGAGGATAAATAATCACAACAAACAAACATAAGGGTTTTAAATATTTAGCTGGCATACATGTCCCAATATTTAAAGAAATAGAAGAACTCACCACCACCAAGAGTGCAGAAATCCTGGAGGTTCCCCTAATGTGATATTCTTTTCCCATCGTATCTTAGAGAAAAAGAGAAAGGTATAAGAATGGTGTAAAGATTGCATGAACCTGGGTAAGTGCAACAGGGCAAAATTTCAAGGCAACATTTGGAAATAAATTATAAAGGACAGGTATAAATAGAATAGGTTTTTCCAGAGTGTTTGTTTAACCATTTATCATTAAGTCAAGATATCAAGGCACTATGAAGCCACTGACATGAGCAGATTAAAAAAAAAAGAAAACCTACTCACAAGTATGACTGAACAGAGTGAGGGTTACATTTACTAAAGCTGGTGGGAGGCAGTTTTGAAAAAGAACACCCACAGTTACACGGTCTTCTGTGCGTATGTGTATTCAGTCACGGACAGGAGCATGAATTCACAGAAATCCACCCATCAGTCTTATAACCACTTATCCTGGTTACAGTGGGGCCTGGAGCCTATGCCCGGCACCACAGGACACAAGGATAGGGTGAACCCAGAATGGGATGCCAGTCCATGGCAGGACACATACATGCATACTTACACTTACACACAGTTCATATACTGCTATCATTGTACATACTCTCCATTAGGCTTTGGCAGTATGATGTTATTATCTTACATCAGTATTTGGAAATCCTGAGGATATTTTTTAATAGCATCTACTTTTAACAGCAACTAACCTAACCACATGTCTTTGAATGTGGAAGAAACTGGAGTACTCTGGTCATGATGGTGCGGCCGAGGTCAGGCGTCTTCCTGATCGCTCCGATTTGTTACATTTCACTACATGTTGTATGTGTACAACTGTGTATGTGACAAAGAAACCTCTTGATTGATTGATTAATATTGTCAGAAATGCAGATATGATACGAAGATGCTGCATTAAAGCAATGTAAAGTAATGTATCACCAGGTCAGAGGTTTTTGTTTTTTTTAACTGATGGAAAATTGAAATTTAAAATGAAATTAATTTATTACAAACAGGAGATTTATTTGGAAGTAGAAAATAATTTGCTTATGATTACCTTTTGCAATTAGGACTAATATTTAATATAATTCGCAGCAATCTTGCCCAAGTTCTCATGCATTTACATTCACGCTGCTATTAGATTGGTTAACTAAGTTTTACATTCACCCTAGGAGGTGGTTATATGATGTGTGCAGCAACTAAAAAGAAGAGGAATGATGTCGACAAACGAAGTGTGATATTTTTAACTCCCCAACAAGAACTTGTCTCCTTGTTTCCCTAGCACTCAATTTCCATACAGATGATCCTGCTTAGACTCAGATTCTGAAGTTTACAGAAGCCTATATGATTTATTTATTTATATTGCTTTTTTAATGCCATCATATGACATGTCTATAAGGTATGACGGTATCAAAAACTAGATACCACCCAAGCCTACTCTCCATTCATTTCTATGGGCATAACCCGAATCCCAGCTATAACAACCTGAACCCCTACCCAGCCTAACCATAATTATAAGTAACCAAGTCTTTGGACTATTTTAGTTTTTTCTTTGCATTCCCTTGTGGGGATTGGAAAAATGTCCCTACATGGTCAAAATAACAGGTTTTTATCACATTGTGGGAACATTTGGTCCCAAAAACTTAGTATTTACATGAACACACACACAATTCAGAAACAGAAACTAACCTAACCACATGTCTTTGAATGTGGATGAAACGGGAGTACTCAGAGGATTCCTGCATAACGTGAGAACATACAGACTCCACACACACACAGAGCACATCCAAACTTCCAATGATGCAGGTGTGAGACAACCCTGTTACTCACCGAGCCACAGAGCCAACCATAACCTTATTCAGAGAAATCAATTGCCTTCAATAAAACTTAATCGTAATAGCAAGCTTAAAAGTGAGAACTAAATTCTCCAATGTTACTGAAAGTCCTCCAGATACCTATTAAATACATTTATACTTTAAACTACATTTATTTGATGTGACATTCCCTCATAGTGTGTCCATATAACAATAAATTATCAGTTAATTAGCTACCTTTTCACCTCCTCCTCCGTATGTGAGGAAATATAAAACTTAATTAAGCTGCAGCAATATTATATTATATTAAAATCCTACTCTGCACATGTCCACATTTTACAGTTTTACATGGAGGTTTTTAAGGTACTATCTTTCAGCTTTCATCTATGGAAGCTATATCAAGTGGAGATGAGAAACAGAGACTGACTTGAGAGTTTAAATCTGTTAAATATTCAGCACAAAAGCAGGAAAGTTTTTGGCCACAAGGCAGATAACCAGACAAACTACACATAAGTGCAGGAAAAAGTGAAGCATTTCAAAACCTGAACAAATAAGGTTCTCTTTGGCTAGGGAAATGTTTTATAAATCATTGAAAGAATTGTACTGAAGATATCTGGATATCAGTGATATACAGAAGTATCAGTGATATTATGTTATGACAAATTGTTAATTAATTAAATGATTAAAACTTAGACAGGGGCTTTGACTTTTCAGCATCCAAAAATCAGATCAATTAAAATAAAATGCAACACACAAAAAGTATTTTTGAGAACAATACAGAATCGATACAAAAACGAACCCTGGTCTTGTGACTCTCCTTCCTGTGACTGTCATACTCTCCCTTCGTAGCTCTACAAAATGAGAGTATGGCACTATTTATTTATTTATGGCATATCCATATCACCATACTCACCACCATGCACCAACCATGTTGGTATTTCAGCCAAGATATTTCAGCTGACTCAGTCAACTAGTAACCTTTTGACTGCTAGATTTATATATATATATATATATATATATATATATATATATATATATATACACACACACACACACACACACACACACACACACACACAGTGGTACTTTGGTTCTCGAACTCACTAGAACTTGAATTTCTTGAAAGTCGAACAAACCAGTTTGACCTAGAACTCGATCTGAATATCAGAAGTCAAACCGTGAACGCTGACCTAATATAAATTGTACGCGCCAGGAAAAGTCATACTTGATACTACAATGCAATTCTTACTTGAATGCCTTCTTCACAGACTGGACGATTAACCAAATAAAGCAGCGCAACATTACAATAACTAACAATAAATAAACCACTAACTTACGTGTAGGCTACTATTAGAGCATTTATGTCATTTATTTAAACTTTATTTTACCAGGTAAATTAACTGAAAACCAGTTCTCACTACTTTACGTGATATTCGGGAGAAATAGCAGATTACGTATACAAACGTCATGCGTGTAACTAAACTCTTCAGCCAATAAAAGCAAAGGTGTGTCGTCACGGAGGCGGTTCTAGTTTGTGCAGCCGGGTGAGAGGTCACAATGCATCTAACCGTAATGCATTGCGTCAGGATCAGAAATTTCAGAATGCGTTGCTTTAAGCCAGCGCTGAAAGCAAGTCAAACGCACCCAATGACCGGACTGGGGAAACAAACTAAAACGCGGACTTAACACAGAGGACTAATGACAACAACCAGAAACAGCAGATCACAAGGGGATCCCACACGAGGTTAACGAGGGGGCGTGACACACGGAAGGAGCGGACGATCGGGGTAGGACAGGGGTAAAGTTGGGATAAGATCTTTATCGTTTTGGAAGCCATTAGGGGAAAAAAAATGCTCTTCATGTTTTATCCTGTTCATTTTGTGTTTAGATGCTTAAAAAAAAAACATATTTAGGTGTAATTTTGGGGGCCCGGGAACCAATTAATTGGTTTTCCATTATTTCTTATGGGAAAAATTCGATCAGATCATTTTTATGAAAATCAAAACAGTGCTCTTTTTTGATAAGATAAAGAGCATGACTCATAAGATGGCCACCATAAATGTTCAAACCAGCCTTATAAAATCTGACAGGATTTACTGCCACCCCCGCAAAATTAGAGTGAGTACACAATGTTAAATATGCTGCACACAAAGCTTACGTTTTTCTGAGTGCTTGCTCCAGCAAGTTTCGAGGGTTTTGATTTCCTGCTGTCATGTCAGTTTCCTGTGTGTGTTTTTGACGTGAATGAAAAAGACATGGAAACCATATATTCAGTTCAGCTGTATTGCTTCAGAATGTCTAATTGGCATCACTTAAATTCAGCCATGACTGAGACCTGTAGTATGTAGTAATACTCTTATGCAGCCTGTAGAAGTAAAAGGGTTTAATGGTTCTGGAATCTTCAATGTTTAAACACTGCAATATCATCTCACTTTATCTGCTTTAAGGTTACCTTTCTAAATACAGTTCAAACAGGATATTTAAAATTATATAAATAAAAGCTGCCAATGAAAGAAATGGAAATATTTACTCCAGATTTAATTCTTAATGTGTGCCTGTGTTTACCCAAGATTTCAGTTAATGTACTTCAGAATAAAACATGATAATCTTACTTCCATCTTTTGATCTTCAATGAAGTGACAGTTTTAAGTTGTACTGCGAACTGAAGCTAATCCTTGAATACCATCACAGAGCACTGCACGAGCAGCAGGGCAATCAAAGTCATGTAAGTTGTTCTATTAAAGCGCTCCTTTATCTGGTGCCTTTTACAGACAACCTATTGTCTTACAGTCCGAAATATTGGGATTAAAAAAAAAAACACACAAAAAATAAATATAAGTATACTTCAGAAAGGAAACAGAACATATTAAGACAACAACAACAACAACAATAATAATAATAATAATAATAATAATAATAGAAAAGCTATTTTGTTTGCAAAACTTCTTGTGGAAATGTTAATGTATGAGACCTTGAGGCCAGTGACTGCATCAAGCAGAATGGACTGTTTGATTGCCCCTAACAAGATCTTCTTACACTTGGAAATGTGGACAGAACACATCGTGATAAAGCATTAAACTCACAGTCGACATGCTTAGAGATGGCAGTATCAATGTATCCAACATGCAAACCCATGACAAAGTTGGGTATGAAAGTTGATCAAGGGCATAGATTTGGGTATGGACAGTAGGGACGTGTCCCTACCAATATTGTTAGAGGACCATGTGTGCAGTGGAGGCTTAATGATTAGGGAAGTGCACTTGTAATTGAAATATTGCTGGTTTGAATCCCCGACCAGCAAGACACCACTGAGGTACCCTGAGCAAGGTACCGCCCCCAAGCACTGCTCCCCGGGTGTGGAATTAGCTGCCCCCTGCTATGTCACGATGTCACATTAAATGCAGAGGACACATTTTGTTGTTGTGCACTGTGTGCTGTGGTGTGTCAACAATGACTAGTGATCTCTAAATGTGTGTTTAGGGTTCGGGGGTGAATAGGTCCCTACCGGTGTTGAAACCAAGCCGACAGCCTTGGTGTTGATGATGAATGCAAAATACTAAGAGGACATTTCAAATACCTTAATATAGAATCTCCCTGAAAGACTTCATCTGGTTATGTTATTCCTATATAGGTACTGCTGTACTCTAACTCTTGCTCCGTCCTTTTAAATGAACACTAAACATCTAATGTGTCCTGCCAGCTCAGCATTTTGCTTATGTATAATTAAATTAGCAGGGAGCTCTAAAGTGCAGTCCATTGCTTGCAAGGAAAAATCTGCTCTTAGCATTTCACTCCTGAATCTATAAATATACCCAGGATGGATGCTTACCTCTGACAGGAAGGTCTGTGCAGATTTCTGAGCCCCCACATGAAGCAGATACTCATACACATACAGTGCTAACCTGCAGATGGAGAGATGTGAACAAAATCAGGTAAAATCGGCTCCAAATTTGGGAGAAATCAGTTTCTTTTCCAAGAAATTAGAGAAAATTATAAATCTGACATATGCTAACCTGGCAAAATAGGTCATACATTATACTTCAACCGTACACACATAAAACAAGGCCTGCAAAATGTGCTATAGCATTTTTTTTAATAACGAAAATCTCCCCTTGTACAGAATGAGACATTTCACCGATCATTGGTTTCCATAGCAACGGGTATAATGTTTGTCAGAAAAATAAAACAAAGTATTGTTATATAGAATATATGTAGCTAATCAAGGCCCCATTGTTATGGAATACTTCAATATGTAGCAAGGCCATAAACCTGAAAAGACTTATGGGGATGTACAAAACAACAAATTGTACACACTTCTGTACTGAGTGCCAAATATTATTTTAGCTTACTTTGGTTAACGATAAAGCAATATATTATGAAAGGAATACAAGGCAAATTCTTTATGTTTTTACTTAAAGAAGCAATTAAAAAACAATTGATCACATTTCTTTGTGGACTTCTGGTTAAATTAGATCAAGATTACACAAATATAATGCATATACTCCAAAATCAGCACTGGATTGATAAGTGAATTCCAAAACAATGTATTATATTGTCTTTGTACCTGCAAGCTTGCTATGTTGACACCGTACATGGAGAATTTAACTCAAATGGCCATTGCATTACCATTTTTAATTTAATTGAAGTTTGGCAAGTGAATGACACATACCTCCCAGAGCTTAGAAATGTTTTTTGTTTATTTAAAAAAAAAATCCTTTGAGATATAGCACCTTCTCTTCACCGCAGGTAGCAAAGAAAAAAAATTCATTCCCCACATTTCACTGCAATTATCTGAACAGACACATACTTATACAGCCCCACGCAGCCACTGAAGATTATATTCTAGTTATTCATATTAATTTATCTATTCCTTTAATTTGCTCCAAATTGCCATGTGTATAGGCACCTGTATGTGTGTATCTTTCTTCATGGTACCACCAGGAAAAATGTGTATGCTGGATAATAGCGATTCTGATTCTGCTTCTAATTCTTGATACTGAATTGTCCTTATCAGGGCATCCTGAGTGCTTCCATCAAAAAGCTCTAAAGTATCAGAATTAAACAAAATGAGGAAAAATAAACAGTTGTTAAACTTTTTAATAAAATATTCGATGGCTTATACTGATAGATCTTCCACAGACATGATACAGGTTACATTTCTACATTGACACCACAGAAAGTACATTTATACATCTGGGGCCACTTTGTTAGGTACTCTACTTAGTACCAGGTACTGTAGTGCCCCCTTTTGTCTCCAGAACTCCAAACTTCAATGGTTCCAAGCTAGAGATTCAGAGATGGCCCTTCTGCACACCAATGTTGTACTGAGCTGTTCTTTTTGCACTTGTGCTCATCCTGTTAGCTGTAACGAGTCTGGCCATTCTCCTCTGACCTTTCTCATTACCAAGGTGTTTTCATTGTTTGTAGGAGCAGACAGTTTATGTTAATGAGCAGGTGTACCTAATACATTAAAAGTATAATCAACGATGATAAAACGTTAAGGGCTGTATGACATTTACAATAATAATAATATTGCAGGGACCATTCAGCCTGAATTAATGAGAAAACCAGGTAGCTGCAGAGAATTTTTTTTCCTGAGGGAGGACAGTGGAATACTGGCTTGGCATTTTACAGTGTTTGATATGCCAACATGTTGTGGTAAGGTAANCCCCCCCCCAGGTCCATCAATCTGAAACTAATGTTTCACTTCCAGTAACCTAAGAGCGTCAGAAGCCGCTGGAGAAAACCACACACAGCACTGCACAGACTGATGCTGGACACAGCAGCTTCTCCCTTTGGAGAAAGGGGATCTCAAGAAAGCAAAACAAGGCATATATCCTTTCCAAATGAATTCACAGTCTATTTCTGCAGAAGGCCTCAGCTGAAAAGAGACAAGGCTAAAACAAAGCACCAGTGATCTAACCTGTATTAAATGAATTATGCATGATATAGGAGATGTTACACTCTGTGTTTGAGAGCTTAAATCTCAAGTGTATGGTTTCTGTTCAGCCACGTAACAAGGTGCTTTATACACAATGCTAATCCATAAAAAAACATTATATAGTATATGAGTCTCTGCAAATATATATTATATATATATAAATATAAACAGAAAGCACCTTGTTCAGAGCTTGAATCATATCTGTATGCTGAACGAAAGCAATTCCAGTTATTAGATCTTAAAGTAAATTAATGGGAACTGGCGGTAAAGTTGATACTGTACACAGCTGAATCCCTGTTATTGAGTAGCCTTATCAAGCTGTAATAATCTTCCTGCCCAGTACTGGTCTGCAAGATTCCTTCCATGTTACCATGAGCAGAAGAGACATACATTTACACCTGCTACCCTTGAACACCACCCCACCGCCCCGCTTCCCAAATTCAGCTGCGTTCATCTCTCTTGCATTTTCTTTCACAAACCAGAGCAGCTGTGATGAAAATTTAATCAGCAAAACATCTCGGGAGTTGGATTTGAAAGGCAAAATTTTGGAGAAAAGCTCAGCTGAAGCTCGGCCTGGAAGGATTACTAGGCCAAGAATATCTATTTACTCTGGGGCAGGTTACCGTGCCCCACGCGTGTAGATCAAGGCAGTCGTTGGTTTGGGAAGCACCCTGACCGATCAGATATCTTTTTTTTTGTTTAAGGGGCCAAGGTAACTGCATTGAAAGCATTTCCCTATAATGTGAGGTTCTCACTGTTACTATTAGTCCTATGATGGTGCATTTAGAATGACTGTGTCACAAGGATACCCGTCCAATCATGGAAAGCTAAGGACTGTGTCACAAGGATACCCGTCCAATCATGGAAAGCTTAGGAACGCCCTGAACGGGCTTGCTTGACATCACTAGGCATGAACACATACTGACATTCCCTCACTGAGGAGAAAAGCAGGGTGAACACGCTCCAAGGTCAGAGTATGTGGCCTGGTCCCAGGGCGGCTCACTGCTCACTGAGGGACTGTGCCACTGTGCCGCTTTAAAATATATCAATATTAATAATAAACCAACCCACCCACATCATATGTAATGTAAATATAAGGCCACATTAAACGTTTTTTTTTTACAACGGCTAAAGAAAATGGTTAAGGTTAATGGTTAAAAATGACATAATAGACCGCAAATGCAAATCCCAAAGGAAAAGTAAAACTGCTGCTCTGTCAGTAAGAAGAGGTGCTCACCTTGAAGTTACACCATTGTTTTTAGATAAGGTGTTACATACAATATCCACCCAGCCACCTCCGAAACACTTATCTAATTCAGGATCACAGGGGACCCTGAACCCTGTGGCAAGCAGCATAGGGCACAGGGTTGGGATGCACCCTGGATGGGATGCCAGCCCAGCGCAGGGTGCATACATGCACACACTCAGTCTCTCAATGGGAAATTTAGAAACTCCAGTTAGTCTACCCTCATGTCTTTAGACTGAGGGTGGGAACCAACATGATACATGAGAAAATGCAAACTCCAAAGAGCAGAAACAGGATTTGAACACTCAACCCCTAAGGTGTAAGGCAACAGTGCTACCCAGTGAACCAGGATGTCACCCTATTACAAACAGTATATACTAGAACAACACCACTACCAACAACAACACCACCACCAACATCACTACCTCCACCAACAACACCACTACCACCAACAACAACAACACCACCACTACCACCAACACCACCACCATCAACAACAACACCACCAACACCAACAACACTACTACCACCAACAACACCACTACCACCAACACCACCACCAACAACAACAATACCATCAACAACAACACCACTACCACCAACACCACTACCACCAACAACACCAACACCACTACCACCATCAACAACACCACTACCACGACCACCAACAACAACACCACTACCACCAACAACACCACTACCACCAACAACACCACTACCACCAACACCACCACCAACAACAACAATACCATCAACAACAACACCACTACCACCAACAACACCAACACCACTACCACCATCAACAACACCACTACCACCACCAACAACAACAACACCACTACCACCAACACCATCAACAACACCACTACCACCAACAACAACAACAACAAAAAGAAGAAGAAGAAGAAAGTGTGATGCTACATTGATTTTTCTCTGCTTATTAGATTCTTAAGGAGAGGTCTTTGTTTTGCATTTGATGCTGCCTCTGCTGTCGAGTGTCTCAGGTAAAGAAAAAATGCAAAAATGCCACAAAAATCCAGAAAGGCAGTGCAAAAATCACACTAAGTGACCAGGAGTTCAGTCACAGTAGCTATTCCCTCAAGAGTCTGAGGTGAACTGCCACCCAGCAAGACCCAAGCCCCTGATATGAACCCCCACGCTTTACTTCACACTTACACTTACCAATCTTATTGGTAAATATACAATATGATAAATTATACTTTGGATCACATAATGCAGTGCGGCTTGTTCCACCAGCCTGCAAGCTCTGCATGTGCAGTGCGGGACAGGTATGGAAAAGCAGCCTGACACCAGACACCCTGACTGGTGCTGTTCGGCACCCGCAAGCAGGCCGTCCTGCTACCATGTACTTTGATGGAAGGCAGGCAAACTTTACAAACTATAGGAAGCAGAAACAAAAGATAATAACAAATAAATAAGGGAGAATATAATAAGGTATTGTGTTTAGAAAAGATTTATCAACCTCAATGTATTATGTCTGTGTAAATTGGTGTATCACATTCAAATGCAAAACAAACAAAAATGAGAGAAATGCCAAGTTTCTACAAGGCACCTGATGGTACCCTATCAATTTCAACACAAAGACACCACAGAATGTACATTATTCTCAACAAAGACCCCTTTCTTCTTGTGATAAATGAACAAAACCACAAAGTATAGGGGAAAATACCATTCATTGCATTTTAATTACAGAA